ACATCTGCATATTGATGATATCTCATCCCATGGTGGTGGATGATCTCACCCAGCAGTTTCATGTAGATGTTAAAAAGAGCGGGGAAAGTACCAAGCCCTGCAGCACCCCACAAAGGTGGGGCTGTGGGCTGGACCTCTTGTTCCCTATCAACCCCATGCTTACTAGGTCACTTAGAGATCTAATGCTGTATTTGTACAGTATGCTAAGCTTGGTCAATTTTAGCACTGATTTTTCTGCAGCTTCTTGGGTTATGCAAACTCAACTTGTCTGGTAAGTTTATGATTCAATGTATTGTATAGATCCAGAAAATTGGGTTAATTCACTAACCTAACTAAACTGGTTGTATGAATCCAGCTACCTGTACTTTCTGTTTAATTCACATTAAAGTGTTTTCTTTGTGTAATCATGAATCAAATGCATTGTTCTGAACATTTATTTTTGTTCAATATGTGGTACAATAGTTTGGGGAGGTATTATGGATTTTTTTCCCAGGGGCATTCAAATATATTAATACACTGTCAGATAGTAAATAATCTTTTTACCTGAATTAGACATTTTCCCATCGTTGGCTGTTCCAGCATTTCCTGGAGCAACCAGTACCTGTTTCAGATGTAGAGACTGTGCCAGTTTCCAAGCTAGTGCATGTTCTCTGCCTCCGCTGCCAATCACAAGCACTCGATCAGCCATTCTGGCTTGTTCCAGCAAGCTGATGGATGGTGGCTACTAAATTAAGACTGCATCAAAAAGGAGAATCAGTTTAAAATGTATTGGTATAATTGGCACACTAGTGACAGGCAATAGAAAAGCATGGTACTGATTTAGCCATAATTTAAAGCATTATAAATGAAGTAACTGCAAAAGAATTGACTAAAGCAATTAAATTAGAATAAAAGGGCAATCAGAAACTAATCAAGGCATAACTGGGCAAAAAGGTATTGAGATAGATAGATAGAAAAATAGATAGATAGATAGATAGATAGATAGATAGATAGATAGATAGATAAAGATAGATCGATCCCGCAGTACACATTGCTCTTAATATTACTTCTATTTATTTTATTTGTTTCAGTAAACTGGAGCTATCATATTGGCTGCATACATCCATTAGATGAAAGAAAAAAATACATAAAAGTAACACTTTGCTGCCATCCATTGGTTGCCCGGATTTCTGCAGACCAGAAACGTCAGGAGTCATTCAGGGTATGGAAGCTGGCAATTGCACAGACAGAAGTTGCAGGAATGAAAAGGAGAAGCAGTTGGAAAGCTTGTTATGGAAAGAACTATGCAGTTAGCCTATCCTAACATAATTCTTGATTAGGTATTTTTATGCATGTCAATAACATGGAACCTTCATTTGTTGATTTTTTAAAAAATATGAACTAGAAATAAGCATCATGAACGCAAGGGCAGAGAGAATGGGAGCTCTCTCTGAATGTGACCTTTAAAAAGTCTACTGCTGACACTATTCAGTTCTTGCCCATCAAATACGTTAATTACAGTGCAGTGAAATGTGCCTGCCTTTCTATCTCTACAAAACATTACCTTTAGGTAGAAAAGCAAGCAGCTTAAAGCAGTTGGGAAAGGAGTGAGATGATGATGGATCAGCCCTAAAGGATACCCCAGACATAATTCTCCTCCACAAGTAGTTGAAGTCAAGATATGAAGAGAAGCTGCATCCTTTCACACAATTGAAAGGATCCTGGAGATTATTTGCATATGTCTGTGGTCATGAATGATGCTGATAAAGCCCTGAACAGAAGTAGCATATGTGCCTATAATAATAAATTACCATCAGAAAACCAAGGGAGAAATAGCTTATAGATAAGATTGCTCCGGCATCTGAGCAAATGCTACCCTGTTGGCAGTTGGGTTTTACCTAGACTAGTCCACCTTATTTATTATTAATTTTCATTTTTGTTTTTGTTATTATGCTCTTCTCTTATAAATCTGAATCTTTATGCCCATTTTTCTTCCTGGCAATATAAGTATAAGTAGGAAAGGAAAGGAAAGGAAAGGAAAGGAAAGGAAAGGAAAGGAAAGGAAAGGAAAGGAAAGGAAAGGAAAGGAAAGGAAAGGAAAGG